CTTGGAGATTCTCTACCTCGGTGGGATATTTGTACGTGGCTCGGGAAGCACCCGTCCCCACTTGGCACGCCCCCTTTTTTCGGTATTATTTTCGTTTGGAGATGATATGTTCGTTTCTGAGGGGATATTATGATATACCGCCGCTTGGTCTGGCGAAGTCTGAGGCTCGAGAAGCATTTTGATAAGGGTCAGATGTTTGTTACAAGGTTCCTGCCTTGTAACAAGCCTTGCAAGAGGGAGATCCCAAATCGATAAGCAGAACAGAGGAATATTAAAGACAAGACAAAAAGAGTCGGCTTACTGTGTCCAGACATTAATACAAAAGGTTCACAGGATCAACATTAAAGATAGTGCTTTTATAATAATATTAGCGAAGTCAACTTGATATACTAGACAGAAATAAGGAGTTAATACATGCATGTCCCTGGTTTCATATGTTTTAAAGTTTTTGGGCATTATGTTTCAGGTTTCTATTTTATTTTTAACAGTTAGAGGCTAAGGCGGGCCGTGCTGAGGAGTCAAGAGTTTTAGTTGTAGTTAACGGGCTGACGGCCCAGCGGACTGATGTTAGGGGCTAGACGTAAATGGGTTGTGTGACATCAGTATTGCTTAGATCTGGGTCGTGGCTAATTATGCAGTGCATAATTACATGGCTGGTATTTTATACCAGGTCTTGACAATTGGCTTAACGGTCCTGAAGTATCGAACCTGTCAGCTTGGTGTTTCACAGAAGCGACTGCCAGATCTTTAGCCACGTCGAGCTTGTTGCTGCCAAGTTGAGAGTTGAGATAAAAGAATTTGAAGTAGTTCGGTCCAACAGTCATGTAGTTTACCTCTCCTTTGTGGCCCATGGCACGCACAACATTGCCGCCGGCAGGTTATTAACACATGCCAGGGCTGCCGTCAGATCAATCAAATCAGATTTGGACCCAAATCTGATCTGAACTGATAATTCACCATTCGAATCTGATCTGATCTGATTGATTGATTGATATCTGATAAATAGCAGCTCACGTGAAGCTTCCCTCGGGTTCTAGCTGGCCTTGTTACTCGAGCACAGGCCTCCGAGAGTAACACACCCTCCTCTGACCCAGTTCTTCAATAGCTGGATCGACTCGATGCTGGATCCAAGTAAAGAGTGTCGCTGTGAGCTTACTGTAAGCTTCGCAAGACTAAATGCCCTCTCGCAGTCGGTTGACATAGCCGGAATAGCAAGAACATCCAGTGCAAACCTACTCAAGCGCGGGAAAGCATTGCTATGGTCAATCCACCAACGAACGGGGTCATCTACCTGCTCCGGCTCAAGCCTGTAGTATCGTTCAAGTTCACTGCCTGTTGCCGACAGCTTGGGTTGCCGGCTTTTTATCCACTGCCCAAACCTACTTTGCTCAGGTCTGGGCGTCAACGGGAGCGTGACGAAGATATTCTCAGAAATATCATTGTCATTCTTCGAATACCAACGCTCAAAATAGACCTTGATGCCATCCTTTGCATCTCGAAGCCATTGTAGCTGTTCTGGAGAAGTCCAATTGGTCTCCAGCCATCGGAGTCCAAGGTCCGGATTCAGAACAACAGAAGCTGCAAACAGAGGCGACCGTCCGAGAAGAGTGTAGTAGTTGTTCAGTTTGATCCAGGCATTATTTATACTTGCCCTGATGCTAGCGCGCTCCTGGCCCTCCATACTGGCAACATTACTCACTGAACGAGCATCGTCCTGCAGGTAGTCTTCTCGAGAATGTTCAGGAAGCGCATCTTCGTTAAACTGTGAGCTGGCCGCTTGACGAGTTGGCAGAGCGGTTTCGCGACGGCGACGCAATGGTGTGATTTCATATCCTTGAAGTCGTGATGGTAATCGTGACTGTCGCGAGGGTCGCTCTCGGATTTCTCCGACTGTCGGTGACCGCGAAAGTGTTGATGTCGCACTCGTGGCCGGTCCAGCTTCCTCCCCCTGGGCTGTATATCTTCCTTCTGCAGCCGTATCAGCAGTTTCATCCTCATAGAGAGTCTTCCAGTTTTCGAGATGCTCTAGCACAAACTCCATTCCTGTCATGACTTCCCAGAGCCGGCCGTGACGCCCGCTTGTACCCCACCCCTGTGTTCTCATCGTCATATTGAAGATCGGCTCCAAGATATGACTGACTTCCCTGAGGACCTTCCAATCATCCGACGTCAGAATGTCAGCCGTTGGGACCCTCCTTGAGGCGTCTGCTTCTAGCCCTAACTCCTGAATGAAGCTGTTGAGCTCGGACTGCTTGACCAAGGCACGCTCAATCATCATAAACGTCGAGTTCCATCTCGTAGCGTTGTTCTGTATGACTTCAAGCTCGGCGGTTGATTCTTCTGTAAGCTTGTATGTGTCTACCTCCTCCTGCTCCCTAGCATGTGCTTTGAATGCTTCGGTACGTTGCGGAGAGGCTCGGATGAACTTAACTATATTGTGGAGCTTCCCAACCGGGCCCTTGGCTCGCCAGTGTTCGAGGTCTTCTTCAACCTGCTCTAACATGCCATAAGCCTCAGACTGAAGTTCGAAAGAAGCTGCATCATCGCCGTAGAGGAAGGCCTGGGCAACGAGGTTTAAAATATGACCGAAACATCGCATCCTTCGTGCTTCCGTATCCGCTCGAGTTATCGAGGCATCAAGAGTTGTGTAGAGGCTTCGCAAGCAGACATCATTACTAGTCGCGTTATCGCAGATCGAGACTCCGAGCTTAAAATCGATGCCCCAATCACGGACGACATTCCTTAGAGTGTAAGCGATGTTCTCGCCGGCGTGAGATCCGATCTGCCTTTTGAAAGCAAGCAGTCGGCTTTGGTACAAGTGTCTCCGATCGATATAGTGACCAAATATGGAAATAAAAGCCAATCTGTTCGGAGAGGTCCAGAGGTCGAAGCTAAGATGTATTTGGGTAACAGCATTATTGAGTTCTTCCTTGACAGCCGCTCTCTTGGAAACGAGTACGTCCTCTAGATCTTTCTTGGTCGCAGTTCGACCCCAGGGCACCTGAGCATAAAGATCAGAGTCCAGCTGACGGAACAGCTCCTGTAGATAGGTACTCTCGAAAGTAGTGAAGGGAAGATTAGAGTCAACGATATAACCAACAGAGAGCTCTCTAATCCGTGCCATCTTCGCTCGAGGAAGAAGGAAGGAGGAAGAAGCCGGCCGTTTCTTGGATGCATCTCTCTGAAGATCGAGAACTGAAGAGTCACCGGGTGGATTTGCTTCAAAGGTCTCGGTGATCCTGTGGGCTCTAAAAACTGTCAGGGATAACCTGGAGATGAGAAGAAGCACGAACTTGAAAAGATGAGCCGATGCCGATGATGTCGACTGAGCATTAAAAAACCGTGGCGCACCCTTATCATCGCAGAGACGGCAACACCAGATGTCCCCGCTGGACGTATTGTCTTTCCTCAACTCTGCTAGGAACCAACCATGGTTTTCAATCCAGCTTCGCCTGCCCCTGCTTTTCCTTTTGTCCAAGAGGCTTGCAACGACAAAACGTCTTTGGCCCCAGGTGATCTTGTAAAGGTCGTCCACGGACGAATCGGCAGTCGAGGCCAAAGCTAGAGCTGCATCATACTGCTTGGCGATGGCCTTGGACCGGGAGCTGAGACGAGAAAATGTGGGTGGTGGCGGCGGCGATGACGACGAGCTACTAGCAAGGCTGCCTTTCAAAGTGATCTCCGACATCGTATGTTGCGACCAGCAGGAGCTTCAACAGGTTGAACCCAATAGCCTTTACATGTTTCCAAACATCTAACGATGCATTGGCTTCCCTGGCTAAGGCTATATCGTACTAGGGCAAAAGGTAGGGAAAAGGGGTAAACTAACTTCAATTGAACCAATTAATCTGCTGGTAGATTGTTCTCCAGCCGAGCCCTGGGGGCTGGGCCTCAAAAGTAGCCAATCAGCTTGCCTCAGTTCTGTGGCATCACTGCTTCTTCGGGAAGTGCCCCACTCTGCGGGACCGGAACATGTTATGTTATGTTATGTATATTTTTCGTCCGGGGGGCTGTAGGCCCTGAAAGTCCCCTACTGGGGCAAAGGACGTGCTGAGCTAGAGAATCTGGGATCTATCTATACGCTAATTACAAAAATACCATTGGCTACGAGGATGATTAGTCATTCGCTGCGCGAACTTAGTCTTCCCCCAGATCCTGATTTTTGCAGACGCGTCAGTAGATCACACTCTATCCAGCATATCATCGGCACAGATGGCGCATCCTATCGAGCCTGTT